ACAACTGCACGGATTCACTTAACAACCGTATAAACGATTCTTAACAACTGCACGGATTCACTTAACAACTGTGGCAGCAAAGGTGGAGACATGGCGCAAAACCCATTTAAGAGACTAGTCTTCGATTTACAGCAGTTCATTTAGTGACCATTTGAAATGAGAACAGAGCAGAATTTGGACCAGAGCTGCCAAAGTAACACCCCGTGGGCCGGACACGACACCCTCTGGCCACACCTACACCCGGTTTAGCGAAGGGGGGGAGTATGAATACATCACGCGACACCACCCTGACGATGCGAGTTTGACACCCCTGATTTGGATGCTTGGCAACTGACTCATATTTACGACATTAGCAGTGTCAGGGAATCGGGGGATTCCCACTTTGTGAGCTTCTGATCCTGGATGGAACCCCAGGTCGAAGAGAAATGACTTAAAAGGGTAGGTTTGCTTCAAAATACAACGTACCTTGACGTTTTCCCGACGCTGTAGAAATGCCATTTCCCGTCTTTCACACACGATGCTTTGAAGACCTGGGTCCCTGCGAACCACAAAAACAATTACAGGTAGTTCTCAGCTTACGACCCCAATCGGGACCAGAATTTCTGTTGTTAAGTGAGACAGTTGTTAAGCGAGTTGTATGAATCGCTGCACCTGTTAACTGTTCAGTGAACTGAGCTTCCCTTTCGACTTACATCCGTCATTGAAAGCAACATTCCCATTGTGAAAGTGAGGCAGTTGTTAAGTGAGTCAGCCCCATTTTGACCACCTTTTCCCTGGGGTTGTTAAATGACTTGGGGGGCACAGGGTGTCCTCAACTTGTGACCATTCGCTTAGCGACAAAAAGGGACATATGACCTTTCCCCACACAGTTGCTGTGCGACAGGGACACGCGATTCCCCCTTTTTTGCGACCAGTTGAGCAAACAAACCCAACAGGGAAGCCAGCCTCACTTAAGAACCATGTGATTCAGTTAAACCGCTGCCGTGATTCACTTAACGGCAGTGGCAAGAGAGGTCATCAAGCGGAGCAAAACTGATGGAACAAATGTCTCACATAACAACCAAAATGTGGGGCTCACTTGTGATCGTAGGTCGAGGACTGTGGAAGCCCCCCTCCTTTGCTAGGTCTGCCTTAACAAAATCAACCATAAACCTGGCCACTACATTGTCATACATATACATATTTACAAAGTAGTCCTCAAGTTATGACCATTCATTTGGCGACTGTCGGAAGTCACAAGGTGCTGAAAAAAAACCCTGAGTAGGCCAACTGTGGAAGCCACACGATTCGCTTCACAACTGCCTTAAGCCATGGAAATTCTGATCCCAATTCTGGGCCTTAAGGTGGATAGAATCTGGAAGGGATCTTGGAGGTCTTCTAGTCCAACCCCCTGCCCATTTACTTCCATCGTAAATTTATTCACCGCCAATCTCAGCGTCCAGCTGCCTTCCAACGAAAAGAACCAAAAACAAAAAAAGCAGTAAGATGATATTACGAAATTTCGTTCGATATGAAGCAGCTGAGTTTGTCCGTTGCGATCATCACCTTGATCAACTCGACACCTCGACTTACGGCAGTTCAACGGGACAACGGCACCAAAAACATCAGACTTGGGACTCTTGTTCGCAGGTTAACCTTGGTCGCATCCCCGTGATCAGGGGATCAAAATTCAGACATTTGGCAACAGACTCATACTTACGACCAAAGGTCAACGGGACCAGCTTTTGCGGCCTGCGGAACAGCGACATCCCAGGCGTGCGTGCATTTGTGTGTAGAAAGCCAGATTCACTTAACAGCCAGCTCGCTCACTGATTGACAGAGGCGATTCGCTTAACGGCAGCGGCAAAGAATGAGGCAAAACCTCCCTGAACAAACGTCTCGTTTCACAACGTACATTGTGGTCGTAAAGTCGCGCTGTAACTACCCAGCTGGGGCAATGCAAGGAAGAATCTCCCGGGCAACCCCCCCCAGCAGAGAAATGGGAAGGGGGGCTGGAGGGACTTGGGGGGGGGGTCGGGGATCTGTTACAGATGGGGATTATTGCGCTCCCTGAACAAGCGCTGGAAAGGGGGGAGGGACAGACTACAAGCCAAAGGGAATCAGG